TACAAACTGCAAATTCAATTCAACAAATTAACCAATCAAAAATTCAAACATACAAAACTTAGGCAGTGGGCACAAACATATAACATATACATTGCATCGGAAAGTGAACCTTTCTCTTCTTGCTCATCTGAGTAGCCATTTTTGATTTGCAGTGAAAAGAATTGAGAAAGATTTGAGGATTATCTTGCTGCGCGAAAATCAAACCTTAGTTGAAGATTAGGGTTTTCAGCTTGGTCGGCGTGTTGTGTCATCCAATGGGCTTTGAGGAAGTTGGGCTCCCTCCGTCTTGGGCCCCATGATGTCTAAGAGAGAGGAAGTTAGCTCACAAACGCTTTATAATAATAATAATAATAATTTCAAAATTTACCTTACATGTTTATTAGCTCTTATTCGGTGAGAATTAAAATCAAATTTTTAGTATATTTTGATAAAAATTAATAAAATATATAATTAAAAAGTTCTCAAACCCATAAAATATGTGATTAAAATTGATGGTTAATTTTGATTTAGATTAAAATTTGAATTTTTATCAATACCAAACGGGTTTATTAATGTAATATAAAAGTAAAATTAATCTTTCATATATCATTGCACTCCTTAAATTAATACATTTAAACATCATTTTTTACTCCATTCACAGTCCAATCCCATTAGTAGCTCGAATATCCCAATTCACATCATAATTCTAAAGTTTCGACATTTTTTATTTCTTCTCTCTCGATTTGTCATGAAGAATCAGTCGCCCTCAGTTTGCAAGATGAAGAAATCTGTGCAACACTGTGAACCCTCAAGTAAATGAATATATAATTCTTCAGAATTTTCTTCTGCATGCAACATTCAAGAATCTCTACTTATATGAGTAATGCTACTTGTACATCATTGTTTACATGATAGTGTATAGATAGAAGAAATTAAAGGGAGGGGAAATAGGACGAAAAAAGAAACTCAATTATTACTTATTGTAATCTTTCTCTATCTTTCGTGTCATCTGTCTGTACATTATTGTCTAAACAATGNACGACACATTGATTAAATTCTTTAAAATTCTTCATTTATATAGTATAGATTTAATTTTATACTTGTTATTAATTTTTCTTGTTTAAATTGTTTAAATATGAATACCTATTTGTTATTTACTAATAATCTTGAGTTAAAAATATATAATGAAAAATGAAAAATTTTTATGATAGAGTGTCGATACCAACACGTGTCGGATATGGACATGCTATACTAATTGAAGTGTCCGTGCTACAGAGGTAACTAGAAAACACATGCGAAGAACAGCAAAGCACATTTGATAAAATTGATCAAACTTGTACACCGAAAAGTAAACATGATCCAAATTCCTTAAAAAGTGAAAGCAAAAACATCATTCTACAAAAAGCACAACAAAACTTGCTGATATAAATCCGAAATTGGTCAAACACGTCTTATATCACTCACTTATCAAAGTAAACAAGCATTTCAAGATACTTAAGTAGAACCTGATATAGGTATAGATGCTCTATACTTCAATCTCGACTTCAGTTGGTAGCACAGCTGGCCTGATGTACTCTTCTTCCTTTGGAGGATGAATTGTGACCAGATCTGGAAGAGGAGTTGTTGGACCTTGCTTTCCTTTGGGATCCCAGTCGAGCATGATCTTCACCTTGATTCCAAGCACTCCCTGAGCAAAAATGCACGTAACTTAAAAGTTGATTTAAGAGAACAAATGCAGAATGCTGTAAATGAGAGTACCGAATGCAACATTGACAAAATGCTCCATAGAAAAACATGAAACAAAAGCGAAATAAACCTGTCTAAGGAGAACGTGTCTAACTGCATAGTCGATGTATTCCTTCACAGGTTGACCAGAAGAAATCATATAGCCATCTTTGAACTTCATGGATTTAGCACGCTGAGCTCTCAACTTCCCGCTGACAATAACCTGTAACCCGTAACAACTGAATTAATGTTGAAATGCAAGAAGCCATCAAAATTATTGGGACAAAATTCATTCACAAGCATACCTCGCAACCCTTGGCTCCATTGTCCATAACAAATCTCAAAACACCATAGCATGCCCTATGGAAGACAAGAAGAAATAGATTACTCATCAATATTATCACACTAAAATGACATTTAAAAAAAAAAAA